TTAATATCAATGTAAGGAGTGGAAATGCTTTCATGCCGTACAAAATTGAATGAAGTATTTATAGAGACTTAATGGGATATGAATTTCCAAAGAAAGTGGGCACTATAGAAGGCAATTCAACAGGAGTAGTGGCTCATAAATAAATTTAAAAATGTCATTGATTTAAACATTTTTTTCAAAACCTAGGCATTGAGTGTGTTGTAGGTGAATGTAAAATGGGCAAATACTCGGTTGAATATCCAAATGAATATATCCGTACGAATCAAATGATGCAAAAATCGACTTTTTTATTGTTTTTCATTAATTTTATTGTTTCTGGGTCTTCTCTCCATGAAATTGAATTGTGCTATCAGTGTATTTTTATCCGTAAAATTTATTCCAATTGTTTAAAAAATGGAGTGACCACCCAGAAATACTTGTACAAAATCTAAACTTTTGAAAAGTCCAACTGTATAACAACTGTATAGGACTTTGGAATAAAATAATGAATTAAGGGGGCCGACTATGGTTTCCATTGCGCAATATTTCGCGCATCATAGTAAAATGAAGCGTATTTACTGTTTTAATGCACCTTTTCTCGCTTAATTATTAAAATTAAACAAAATTAAGAAATTATAGGTATAAAAATGTATTTACAATTTGATACAACTGATTTTTTAACCGATTTTGCAATTGATAGGTAGGTTGACATCGTTGCAGTGTGTTTTTGACGGTATGATAATCTGTAGCTCTTAAAGAATGGGGTAATAAAAATATTATTAAAGAAAAAGTAATAAACATACGCTCTAGAAATTTAAAACATAGAAATTTGAAAATATATCCAATATTTTTATCATGTTTTCATGTGAATCCATTGTGTACGTCATATTTTGTAATACTCTATACAAACAGGAAAATTCGTTATTTTTTTTTTTAGATTTTGAGATGTCCCTTTGGTAACAAGACGGTAGAGTTTTGTGTTTCGTACATATATTGCATAATATAGTATGACTCATCAAATATTATAGTTTGAACAAAATGTCTATTGTAGTATTTGTATAATTTGCTTTAAGTGCTAAAAATTGGCATTTTCCTATATAATCCTATAGTAAATCTACCTGTATTTTGAGACGGTCCCTCAAAAATACCTGGACGGTAGATTTCCCCCAAACTTGGCATGTACACTGAAATTAATGTAAGTTATATATGGTATAAAAATGAAGAGTTTCGCTATTGTAGTTTTCACACAATAAAACTATAGTCGGCCCCCTTAAATACCTTCTATGTTTAGTGTTCCGGTAGCAACATAGGTTTGTCGCTGGATTCGAGCCACATGGAAGCAGCATTTGAGGTTCGAACACAGTGGATTTTTAAAATCTATTTTTTTTTCTCTTTTTGCTAGTTAAAAATTACTCCTTGAATAAAGTTGCAAAGAATGATTTATAACAAAATTTATTTACATTTGTATTATTTTTCAATGCGTTCACATTTTGTCATTTATAGTGCAAACGTTCCCAAATAGAAATAAACATGCATGAATTTGTTACACATGATGAAAAAATACTGAGTATATTTAAAAGAGAATTTGAAAAAAACGGCAACTTCGATCGTTCTGTTACATTCAAGATATGTATTAAAACTACATGTTGCTTGGACATTTAACTCTAATTTGCATTAAGAGCTAATATTTGCCTTTCTGTGCTGAAACCATAATTTAATAGGGATGTCTTAAAGATCTATGAAATAAAATGTTGGTTATAAACTTGTGCAATCAAAAGAAAAAAGAACATTAGATTACAACACTCTCCTTAGTTAGAGGATGTTGTTACAGCTTCTTAAGTGAGAATTTTTTAAATCGCTAAAATTACATCTCGCTAAAAATAAAATACAGTGGATCCTCCGATATCCGGGCGCTTCAGTTTCCGCACGATTTTTCATCGGAACTGAATTTTTTTTAGTTATTTTGTCTTATTTAACTGGTAATTCAGGTATCTGATTACTTCACATATCCGGACAAATTGACTAGGAACCAAAGTGTACGGATAAATGAGACTCCACTGTACCAGTACCTCGCTAAAATTTCCACTTATATGGTATCTTGGGCATAATGATATTTGCTTAATAAACATAAAGCAAGTTTTTTTTTATTAGATTTGCTACTGGCACTTCCTCTTTTGATGCACAAAAGAGTTGCTTAGAACAAGTATGTTTTATGCTTAACAGCTAAAACACCCCCTCTTTCCATACCTTTAGAAGAAGGATATGGAGATAATGAACTAACGAACGTATTCAATATTGAATTCCATAAAACAATACAAAATAGGAGCAGAGCAAACACAGACCTCCGAATCATCAGAGGTGGGATCAGGTGCCATGGAGGAGTGACCATCCCCTGATAACCGGTCACACCCGCCGTGTGCTCATCGTCATGATCGTGAAATAACGGAAAATCTGTTGTCAATTCAGTGTATAAATAATGGACTAACAATTGGTATGAAAAACGTCAGTCAGCATTTGACTCAAAGATAAATTGTATTTGTTGACAAGGTCATTGTATCGACGATAGAACTTACGAAATGATGACTTTAAACGAGACTGCTGATATTCTTGTTTCATCAACTTGCTTGTCAATAATAAATTACCTCGTTTTAGAAATTGTTCGTACGTAGAGCATGCTCTTGCGTATCGAATCAACTGAGATATATACACTCCGTAAGCAGGTGATGAAGGTATATTGCTGCATAAGTTATAGGGAATTTGATGATAGAAAAGTTAAAGTCGTCACGTTTATATCATAGAGGTTGGTTGTTAGGTTACCATTAACGTCTTTTTCAAGTAAAATATCCAAGTAAGAAACAGATGTATCAGAGTCTGTAGTATCTTTTATCTCAAGCTCTCCTGGATATATCGTATCGACGTAGGAATGGAAATTACCATTGTTAAGGGGGATGTACAAGCCATATTGGATCTAGTCTGGTGTAAAATAAGAAATACCAGGAATACGCTTAATACTGTACTAAACTAGCCCAATGTTACTCAAAGTGCTAATGATATATCTGAAGGTCGAGTTGAAGGCCACAGCAAGCGTTTTCTTCTTTTCACGCATAAGATTTTGCATAAATTCTGCTTCATATGAATACAAAAATAGGTCTGCTAATAACGGGGCGCAATTGGTTCCCATGGGAATTCCAATAGATTGTTGGAAGAGCTCGTCTCCAAAAACCACATAGATAGTGTCAATCAGAAACTTAAGCATCTTCTTGATGTCAACTTCAGAGGGCTTGTGTGTGCATTCTTAATCTTTTTTAACAAAATAATTTTGCAAATGACCAATGACAAGGTAAGTAAATTTACGAGTTCCATTTTTATTGAAGAAGCAGCTGTCAATGATATCAAAAAGCCTGGATTTTAATTTATCGTGGGGAATGATTGTGTATAAAGTTGAAAATTAAGTCGTAAGTTTTTAAGCTGTTGATTTTGGTAAAATCTTAGGATTTCGAATTTTCCAAAAGTTCTTTGGAATTTTTTAGTATCCACATCTGATTCACACCACTTCTTGAATATATAGTGGCACAGTACTCTTAAAGTTTTTCCTTCACTACTGTCAATATCTTAGTTAGGAGTAACGAAAAACAATCCAGCCCCCCCCCCCCCTTTTCAAAAACGATGCTACGACCCTGACTATAGCTAATTCTTTTCTTGTCATTTATTCACAAGCCTCATGAATATGACAGTTAAACAATATAATCCTCCTCTAACTTGTAAAATTCATGTATATTAGATAGCTAAAAAGTTCCAGATCAAGTTATTTTTTCAGTACTTAATATCAATAGAAAGTTGTGATATATATATGTATAAAATACTGTAATATATTATAATATAATATATATATATATATAATAACCTTTTTTGTGGATAATTTTGTGTATAATAGAAATTCTCAGAAGAGGGGGGGGGGGGTTTACATCCATTCGTCGGGTGCCTGTGTTTCGAATAAGAACTATCGATTCGAATCCACATTTTAACACTCATTTTGATTTTAGCATTAATTAAAGTTGATCTTTTATGCAAAAATTCAGACTAAATTTTTTTAAGCCATTCACTTTTTTTTTTATTTTGTGGGGAAAGAGGGGTGGAAATTGATAAGTTATCCATTCAAGTACATCCCTGATTGTAAAAATACTCGTGTACATGTAAAATTAATTAATTAAGCCTAATTCTAGATTAATACAAATCTAATTCTTATGCCCTGTTCACACGGAGAGTTTAATTCGAATTAAACGTAAAGTGTCTGTGAATTAGCTTCGCTCAGCGTTCACACGGAGACTTTAATGCGAATTAGTTTAATTCGAATAAATTTACTGCGCATTAAATTACTTCGCATTAGCTCCGTGTGAACGCTAAGCGAAGCTAAATCGAATTAAATTTTCACGCATGTGTAAGGCAAGATTTAAGTCACAGGACACGTGTTGGTGGTTATATATAGGTATTTGTGCTATATTTGGTTCAAAAATTGAGGGAAAGTATGTTAATCGCTAAAATCAATGAAAACCTGTATAACTACTACATGACGTATCAAAGGATGGCTCATTTATACATAATATGACGTGTTTATGTATATGACGTCATAATAGACTAATATCTGACGCCTGTAATATACTGTATAAAGAAATATATATATTAATTCGCATTAGTTTACTTCGCATTAGCTGTCGTGTGAACGCAATTTAATTCGCATTAATTTGATTCGCATTAGTTTACTTCGCATTAATTTACTGCGAATTAAACTCGTCGTGTGAACAGGGCATTATATTTCCCCGGCTTTTTCAATTTCTGATCCGCCACTTCTCTAGATCAGTGATAAATGATGACTTTTTTGTGGGATGGATTACTCATTCGAAAATTTTGTGATGATGAATCATTGTCACCAAGAATATATATGTTAGACCCCAACGTAGTATTAGAGCTTGCTCTTAATTATTCAAAATGAATGCATGTTAATAAATTGTAAAACATCTTCAGAAGATAAAATCAAAGCGGTGAAATCATGTAGTTTTATTACGGTGTCTATATATTTTGATTTTTACATGCAGGAAGTATATGCTTTTAGCTGGGTCCACTTTGCCGCAATGGAATGTCACCTTCCTCGTTTGCAACCGGAATTAGCCATATCGTCTCGGTTCAGATAGTAGTTGATCGAAGAAAAAACGCGTCACAACAAAACATGTTTGCCCCACTTCGGAAATATGTCAAGAAAACAAGATAAGGAAAACGTAAGCTGATCTATTTTGTTTTTTCTCCATTTGTTTTATTCAATGTGTAAAAAAATATGTAAGATCAATCTTCAGTGTTTGGCGGAACAGCTTGTAGCTAAGTTATTCATTCATGAATGTCAAAAACAGGCACCATGTTTTTTTTTCATGGTCCAGTTTTCGCGTACTGGTGCATGACTGTTGTACAACCTAAGTTGAAATACGTCAGCAAATAACCTTTGCTTGATTGTTAATTTAATTAAATGATTTTTTTACCTGCGTATGTCCTATAATTGTTTGTTTATTATGTAACACAAAGGGAAAAAACCCTCGACCTTCTTATTTTATGTTGCAAGAAGGTTTAACCATGATAATTAGTTTGAAGTTGTCAAAACTTATTTATAGTTTTGTTAATGATGGACTAATTAAAGTCCAGTCAGAATGGCTAACAGAATTATGTAGATAAATTAAACACACTGGGATAATTTATATATGCATTGTGATGAAGAGAAGAATTCCAAAATTCAATGTAATGCTTTCTCATTGAAATATAACTTAAAAATGAATTTAAAAAATGATTGTATAAATAGAAGTCTAAAAAGCATTATGATAAAAGTGATTGTTTTAATAAGTAGTAATGTGTGCATTTAGGCAATGACTGACCCTTGCTTTTTTGTTTAAACAAAATAACCTTTAAAATGCTGAGATGAACTATCTATGCAGAATTAGATGTTAAAGATATCTGCTACTTTTGCAGCTCTGCTGACCTTGACCTTTCGTAAATTGACCATGAACTACCAGAAGGCATATATGAACCAGATCTTCTCCAGCTCCCTGATGGGGCAGGTGGCGGAAATGTGGAGGAACCAGCTCCTGTGTGATGCCGTCATCAAAACGGGGAACACAGACACCAAGGTACAGTAACAAAGGTTATAGGGGGTGAGTCAGTATAGTACACAGCCCACAAGATGGACATATTGATAGGACAGTATCTTGAGTATGTCTAGCTGCCTGATAAACTAAAGTCTTAAAAATCGACATCTCTTAGCGACTTAGAAGGGTTGTCGCTATAAAGTAAAATAGCAGGGAACACTATAAAAGTAGAAGGGGTTTGGGGTTCCTCAATGAAGAGGAAGTTTAGGGGAAATACCAGAATTACCAGGGGATTACAGTATGTCAGTATAGGCAGGGAATTCTCTGGCCCCCCAGGTCTTGGAGACAACCCTGGACCTAGTTTAAGTAAATGATGTCCTCTGATTAGTGATGTAGTCTGTTTGTGTATGTGAGTGAGACCAACAGGTTGCATGTGTAGCTAAAATAACCATAAGTTTTTCCAAAATAATATGCCAAAATTTATATTATTTTATTAGATTCCCTGCATGACACATTGCTATTTAAAATATTTAAAAGTATTTTTAACCACTGTCTGATAGATTTATCATGGTCAAAAGAACTGCTGTTAATACTGTTACAGCTTCATTCAGAGTTGATTTCTATAAATAGTTGGAAAATAATATATTCTTTTAATACATTCAATGATAATTAGAATTCATAAAATTTAAAGTTTGTTGTAATGTTCATTAATAACAATACATTGATATAATACATTTGCATGTCCTACCTAATTAACCCCACGCTGACCCATTAAACAACTGAGAGCTGTAGTAAATGATTTTGACATGTTAATGTGGCTATTACCTGATATAATTAATTAATGTAATGTTAATGATAATGTCAAACCTGAAAAAATGGGTAAGAAAATTATGTCTACAATACTAGACGAGTGGACAGATGTGTGATAATTTATTTCTGTTATCCATGTATATGTATTATATATGCATGCATATATTGCCAGGGTCCGACACTCGTCAAAATTTGGTCTCGCCATTCGGGCAACCTTGGTATGATCACAGGTCGCCCGAATGAATTTCAGGTCGTCCAAATAAAATATCAATTGAAACAAAACTTAATGTGAAAATCGTTTAAAATTTGTTATGATAATTAATAGAAGTTGTGGGTTTGTATTAAAAAATGTAAACCATACATTTTTGGAATGTAAAGATGTCTTCTAGTATTTTATCAAACAAAAATATAAGCAGAATCAGACATACTAGAATGCTAAAGTTTGTAGCTTAAAATATTTATTTTCACTTGCCATGAAGGCCTAAATAAATAGGGTCAAATAACCCTGGACTGAATTAATCAGGTGTTATATTACAGTGGACACCCAACATGGCTGTCTAGCAGCAGAAAACGATCATTATGATCGGAAAGTTGTAGGGGAAATGCAAGATGTTACAATGAAGATTATTTATACTATTTATATTTAAGGTGATCGTTGACTAAGTTGACATATTTTATATCTCAAATAAAACTTTATTAAAGACTTTCAGTAAAAATTGCATCAGCTGATTGATCGAACGCAGGTTTGGCAGGGAAAAAAACCTGCTCGGCTGCAATTTGAACATGTTGAATGGGTTGGTTTTGTCACAGGAAAATATGTTTTGAAGGTCTTATGAAGTTTAGTTTAAAATATTAAACATCATTATTAGGCCTAAATATTCCCAACTTGTCCCAGGTCGTCATTTGGGCGAGCCAAACTGAAAATCAGGTCGTCCGAAATCATTTCAGGGTGGAAATGACGAGGTGACGAGCGCGAATGTCGAACCCTGATTGCTCATGCAGTTGTTTTTAAAGTATTTCAAATTAATATGATTTCATAATGGATAAGACAGTCTACTTGGCAAAAAATTAAAAATTATAAGTTTTTCTTAAAAGATAATGTTTCTAAAATTGATTTTCATAATTTTAAGAAACATATACACTGTACTTTAAGTCTGATCAATACATTTGTTTGCTAAGTAGTCTTGTCATGAATGCCTGTCAGATTTAAATGGACACATGGGAAGTCTTTGATAAGGGTCCAGTGAGATTTCAGATAGTTTGTTTTCTGAAGGAAGTTGGAATTAAAACCGGAATCTTATCAGTGAAGAAATAAAAAGATCAATAAACATTTCCTAACAGCTTTTTATGTTGCATATAAATCCAGAATATTTGATTTTACAGTATCTTATTTTTTAGGCCCATAGACTGGTGTTGGTGGCTGCTTGTCCCATGCTACAGACAATGGAGAACGCTGCAATTGGTTCAAATCTAGAAGTCAGACTCTCCGCAGAAATCAAACAGGAATCAGTCCAAACCTTCCTAAAGTATTTGTATGAGGGTTTTATGATGCTCACAGGGGACAATTACAAAGATGTAGAAAAAATAGCAAAAATTTTACAAGTAGAGAGTGTTGTGCGTTGCTGTGCTGATTTTAGCAAGTGCCTTGGTGAAAAAACAGGTTTACCCTGTGAGAAAAGATTTAAAGTAAAAGAGAGCCCAGAATCGGTTTATGTTAGATCGTCAGATCTCTTAAAAGTACAGGAAACTGTAAAAAGGCATTCAGAGGGGGAGACGGTGTCACCAGAGGGAGAAAATAAACGACAGAAAATGAACAGACCCACCCCACCCCCACCTCTCCTCCTACCCATGCACAACATAGCAAGCAATGAGAGGTTGTCCCACACTACGGACATGGCCAGGAATTCGGAGACGGACAGATCTTTTGGAGTCATGGAGGCTGATTATTCTCCCCAGGCCATTCAGACCCTCAGGTCATCTACAAGTGAAATGGAAATCATGAAGGATAGTATCGAAATTGTACACCGTGAACCTCCCGATCCTAATAATATCAGCCAATCAGAGCCTCCCATACAACAGACTATGGCTCTCTCAGTGGCCAGTAGAATTACAAGTGATCATGATGCACAAGTTGTTAATATGACAAATATTCTACCTCATTCCAGGGCATCCTCTTCACAGAATCTTCACACTATAGGCTCACTACATTCCACCTCACGTAAACAAGAGGCAGCTCATTCCACAGACTCCGCACCCAGGACCCCCGAAACTCACAAAAATCACGATCGACGACACCTCCTAACGGGAGAGACACATTCCAGATATCATCCTCATCATCATCGACAGAATTCTCACGAGATGCCTCTCCGGAAACAGGATTCCTATCCATCTAACCTACCCTCCAGCGAGATACTAGGGACCAGTTTACATGACCTGAGCTCTAAGTCGGTATCATCCTCCTCCCTTTCCTCTCCACAGCCTTCATCCTCATACAGACCACCCATTCCCCATCGACAGCCCTCTGCAGCACAGATGCAAAAATCTTTCATGCAGCCCATTTTCAAGCCGGGCCTGTTTGATGGGCGACCATTTCCAGGCATTCCACTAGGACCTCTACGACAGATGGCGGGAGCAATGCTGCCCACTTCCCTAGCTCCCCCTCCTCATATGTCATACCACATGGAGGACCCCAGCAAGGACGTGGGTAGTACCTCATCTGTACCCAGCTCCCCATGTACCCCAAGGTAAGCAGAATGTGGCTTATAGAACTCAATTTGAAAATATTTATAGCTGTAGAATGAATTCAAAGTACAGTAACAGATTTTGAACATTAAATGACAAATGATATTAAAAATATTTCTTTTAATTCGTGTAATTAAATGATGACATTGGCTACATACAACCTTGACTTTATTTTTTTTTTTTTGTTAGCGCCCCTGATCTTTCTGTAATAAAAAGTGAAGAACCACAAGAGAATGAGGAGCTGCATATTGACATTCCAGAGGAGAGCACTTCAGGAACCACAACTCCGTACAATAACACTGAAGAAGAGCCCCCTGGTGATGACAGCAGTAATGCAGGGAGTGAAGGGGGATCACTCTGGCAAGACAACTCTGTCAAAGGTAAACTTTTCTTTGACATAAAGTGCTTTTTTAATTACATGCATGTATGCTATTTTCCTCATAGTACATGTAGAGATTTAAGACTTGCCCACATTAAAACAATATTTATTTTAACAACATTATGTTTTCTCTCTAGATTGATGTATATAATTAGCCATAATACACTTTTCTCTGCAACATGTAATCCATTTTCTGTCTGCATTATGACAGCCCCCTTCCCCAATTAACCTTTTTATCAGAAACCAAGAGGCACTAACATTTAGAATGTGTTGACTGTTAGAAACATGCAGACACAGTTTAAAGAGAATCTGGTCTTCCTCTAAACTTCCTCAGTCCTGTACTTTTTATGTAACTTGAATGACAATAAGTCTTACAAGTGAGAATTTGAAGTTGCAAGATACCTATATATATGAAAAATATGTGTTTAGAAAAAAATGTGCAATTGTGCATGAGTGAATAAAAGCATTAATCTTGTTATGGGGTCTATACCTTGTGCAATCTTTGAGAGAACAGTATTTGTAATTACTATATGGATGGTGTTTAACCATTCTCTGAAATGCAGAAACGGAGAAAATCTTTAAATTCCTTGAATGCATTCTTCCATAAGAATGTAGAATGAAAGACTTTATCTTTTAATCAGAGGAATCTTCATACTATTCTAATGTATATATAATGGAAAAGATTTACATATTTTTTTTTAATGCTTGTTTTTCAGAAAGACCTATTTTTATGTGAAACCATTAATTTTGTAATTTTCTGAGCAACATTCTTGCTATGATCTTGGACTCTGAGCTTACATGTTTATTTATACAAATTTAGATAGCAATTCTTGCCGATTTTATTATGTCCTGTAGTATTTAAGTCATTGCATTTCCAAGATGTTAGTTCTATCTACAAAACACCCAGATGACATTGGAAAATAAAGACTTGCAGTGGATCAAATTTAATAGGTTTAGTATGAATTATATTGAAGTTAAAGTGTTATTTTGGAAACTCAAAAAAAAAAAGAAATCATCGAAAGCCCCCATTAAAGCTGAGTGGCCCGATTTTGTAGTTGTGTGTTGTTTGTACTACACATGGTGTGTTTGGAGACACGAGTTGAACCTGTTGATCTTGAATGATACAAGACAAGAAAGAGATATATTAATATCCTGGCTGTATTTGTGAAGTGCTTTAAAGTTCCTTTGTTGGGCCTGCCCACGCACCTTCCGTGTGTTCATTATACCAAGATCCGCAATTTAATCTTTAAATTTCAGAAATCTTAATATGCCCCTTTAAAATGAGTGCTGTAGAATATTCTTATTCAATGAATTGAGACTACGCCCATATAAGGTGACTTCAAAAAATATCAGTAGCAAACTTGTATGTCAAACCTATGTATAAATATGTATACCTGAGTTAGTTATGCTTGTAGAAGAGTTTCATTCATGCATGCTTGGTAACAGAGAGAGTACCACCTTTTCCTTTTCATACATTTGTTATAACCAGTTTTAGATTGTATAATATTTCTGAGGGTCAAGGTCATGGCATGTCGACCACTCCACAGAGTTGTCTCTGCGAAATAAACTGAACTTTCACATATTCCATTCTAATTCCAGAGGGTTAACGATTGTAACTGAAATGAAGTTGTGTTGTCTCTCTCCTCCTCAGATATATAATCTAGATGGTAAAAGTAAAAATGCCTGCATGCTGTTTCTTGGAATCGTTGATTTTGTGTCGGCGTCTTAAGGTCGTTTTGTTTTTGTTTTAGATGATGAGTCAGACTCAGTGGGCGTAGTTGATCTCTGTGGAGTGGACTCGAGCGAGTTAACTTGTCGATACTGTTTCGCTCAATTCTCAGACCATTCTGCCATCATGGCCCACTTTTCTTCTGTCAGTAATCATGATTTCTGTAAAATCTGTCCCCAGTGTTACAAAGGATTCAAGTCTAGCAAAGGTTACCGTAACCACCAGAAAATGCAACACACGGATGCTGTTGGCTGCCCGTCATGTGACATTTGTGGGAAGCGATTTCCTGCCCTCAGTAATCTTATTGCACACCGTCGGACACACTCCGCAGTTAGACCCTTCCACTGTTACAAGTGTCGAAAGGGCTTCAAAAACCAGTATCACCTCAAAAGACATATGTTAACTTGTCAGCTGGCAGTAATGCCTAAACGATGAAAGACGAAATTGAGACTTTTATGTGCATGTTTTATAAGTCTGAATAGCTCTGAATGTTTTTATCAATTTTGCAAGATATAAATGAGAAGTGCTTCTAATACATAATATAAAGATGAAAGAATATCGTTATCATGTCAGTAGATGTACATCTACCTATGTACAGGACAATTTTACTGTGTTTGTAATCCTAATACATGTATAACTTTATAACTAAAAAAATATTTGATGCATTTAAATATTAAAGAGTTCTGTCAGAAAATGGTGAAAACATGCCTGATTTGCATTCTCTGTAGTTTTGATGGTGAGTTTCTAGGTCACTAACTCTTGTTGATTTTTAATGCGCTGTATAGAACCAGGAAATTATTAGGGGAAGTAAAGGAGAAAAATCGTCAAGAAAAGTGGCATTTAAAGGACGGGGTTCACGTCAGCCAACAAGGCTTTTCAATTCAGATCTGAATTGTTTACTTCAAGAGGAAATCTAGCAATTTTTTTTACGGTGTAGGAGTGGACTGGGAGTGTTATTTAAATTTATTGTTTAAAATGCAGAGAAAATATCTAATTGGCCAGGTGGTTGTCCTGTATATTCAGGAATTCTGCAAGAGGTTGAATTTAATTAGCCATTTTGTCAGCAGGGTTCTTTATAGAATACTTTATAAGAATATCAGATGACTTTGTATCAGTCTTCCATATCCTGTTGGATCAATTAAAGTACAATCTTGTGAAAGAATCCTATTTGAAATTGGTTACCTTTTATTTATTTGTTTATTTTTTCATGGAGATGTATTGTAAACAGAATTTGTTCAGTCAGTTTTATTTAAATAATAATGATTCAGGTATAAATCAATGTGAATTCACCTGTTGATTAAGTTTATCATAAAGAGACAGCTGGCTTCATGTGTAAGCAAGCACAGAACATCCAGCTATTAATCTCTGATTCAATTTAAATAAATTCTAGGCTTGTTTGTCAAATGCTCTTATTACTTAAACTATATAGTCTAAACTTTACATCTTACTTACAATTTATGAAAAGTTATGTTCTAATCAATTCAGAATTAAGCCATTCCATTAAAGTTTTATTTGATGTTTAGTGTCATAAACTTGTTATGCAGCTTGGTTAAATTTGACACTTTTACAGATTCAATAATCCAGAAAATTATTTCTGGCTGAAACCTTTAATTTTATTTCCTACATTTGAATAAACAGTAGAGAATCTGTCAAATAAGACGTTATGCTTAATGTGTCCTACCTGGATGTTGTAACAAGAGAATATATCAACTACTATAAACTAATAAGTACATGTACATGTTTTGTGTTTTACCTGTTGTGATTTTAGTTAATAAGATGAGAATATTGTTACTTTACTTCCTCAGTGAATGTTTCTTCGTAAGATTGGAAAGCTAGGCTTTGATTAAAACCCCTGATTATGAATTAGAAACATCCTTAGTTAATATTTCTGATATAATATGTGTAATACGCATACTGATTAGTCCTCTTTTTTCCAATAACGGCGGTACTAGCGTCTGTGTGTTTGAGTGTAAGAGGACACAGGTCACTCCGTGTACAATGAAATGCAATGTTTTCATGGGGTTCATGGTTCTTTTCTTTATTTAACATCAAGTGCAGTATAGAGCATCATAAATTTTCAGTGCAAGCCATGCGTTTAGTTTATTTAGATACATGTAGTGAACAGACAAAGTGACCCCCTGCATGCCATTACAAATAATGCTCTGCCGTGGTTTTCAGCCCATGCTGTTCACGACGTTTATCACCTGTGGGAGTTCATTCGGGACCTTTTACACGACCCTAAGTACTGCCCTCGGCTAATTCGCTGGGAGAATGCTGACGACGGAGTGTTCCGAGTGGTCGACTCAGCGGAGGTTGCGAGTCTCTGGGGCAAAACGAAGAAATCGACCAAAATGACTTACGAATATATGAGCCGCTCACTCAGGTAAGCATTATTATAAGCTTATATATTAAATAATTTCTCTGTTTTGTACTTAAAAACTTCTGATAAATATATCTTGTATTCTGTATTAAATTTTTGTACACTGTGCCTTTGTATACCACTCTCTGGACATTTTAGTTTGTGTTAAAATATGCAGTCAGAGAGTTTTTTATGGGTTTTATGTATTTATAATAGAAACAATTAAATCTCTAGGTACTGTAGGACTCTGGGCTATTTTGCTGATCTGCCAAAAAATGCAGGTTATCCCAAGAAGTTGTGCTTCAAATTCGGTCCCAAGGCCCATGGATGGCACCCCAAGACAGAGCACAAGGAGCAGGAAGTGGAGCCACCAGCGCCACCTAGCTGGATCACCATGAAAACTTCCCAAAAGGATGACGAGCCGATGAACTTAGTCACACGTAAGGCCAGTGATCAGACGGGGAATCTGAGCAGGTCGACATCGGGGGAGAACGTGTTCTCCTCCCACACCGTGAGTGAACATTCCAGGATTGTGGGGGAACATTTCGCTGCAGCGGCAGCCTCTATAGAACAGAGAATGAGAGAACAGCAAAAGTCTGTAGACGATTCAGATCCCTGTCAAACTTGATGATTCAGATCCCAGTCAAACTTGATCTTGCTACAGACATAAGGGAGAGAATTGGAATTATATTCATTGTATATTTATATATATATCAATATTTATCAACCTATTTCATATATATTGGTCTCATAGGGAAAAATATAATATCATGATAAGTGAAGAAAAACTGTGTGTTTGCTTAAAATTTAAGTTAAAAAAGGTAAGCACTTTAATTAATGTACTTCTATTTTACAGTAGTGTGTTGCTTAAATTTCTTATTGAAATGCACATTTTTGTGTACCTGGTATATATTTAGAGCTCCTAATAAAAATGTACTACACCTGTAACAAAACTGATAAGTAAAAACGTACTCCATGTTATTCTTCACATTTAATAATTTATCTAATGTACTCCATGAATGCATGTATATCGCTCGTTAAATGAAGTTGTAATAGTACAGATTTATAGTAGTTAAGGTTTTAGTTCAGAATTAGTGTTGTTAATATTTATTTGACGTCATGAGTGAATATGTATTCATGATCAAGTTATGAACTTTCATTTTAAGCAAAATGAGCTGTATTTTAGTTTCCTGTAAAATTTTGATGCCTCTACATGAAGCATGGATGTTTATGATCAATAAGACCAAAAATATTTAAGCATCAACTTTTCTCAAAAGGAAAAATTGTGTAGTATGGATTATATAAAAACCAAAGTAAATGTAGGGAGTCAGATTAAATTTGTTAATTTCTTTGATAAAATTTATCAGTCAAATTAAATCCATGACAGCATTTTTACTAGGATATCATATATATAGGATACATATCTCAAATATTTATTTTTAATACAACCTTAATACTGTAAGCCCCTAGATGTCATTATGATCACAAATAAGAAATTTTATCAGTGCACATAGTTTTGATTCATATAGATGTAAGAATTTGATTTTTGTTTATGATGACAATAATGTTCATCTTCCCTTTCATTGAGTGAATTACAATGTATGAGGATGGGAAATTCTGTCATTTAAATCAGTACAGCTCATTTTGCTCTAACATGTTTTAAAAACTTCAGGGACCTGTATGTTTTTGCTGACCAAAAAAGTATTCATATTTTGTTTATACATATATATATATGAAATTTACCATATGTTTCAAAGAAATTTCCTTTTGCCAAAGTGTTCAGAATTTACAGATTAAAAGTATAAAACACACTACTGTTAGTTAAGAAAAATTTAAGGTTGTTGCTAAGCATAAAAAAAAAGCCATTTTCTTGATATACTTTACAATTCACAAATTGAAATTTGTTGCGGAGTGGTTGTATTATGTTGTACAATTTTGTAGATGTAAAACATTCCATTTTTCTTTAACTATCTGATGAGGTTTGGAACTTTGCAAACATTTCAGTAGGAAAAATCCTTTGATTTGTTTGTTGCCTCTAATCAGCAAAAATGATGAATATATTCAGAACCATTTGAAGAGTTCATAAGAAAATATTTACACCCAATGAATATTTTCTGCTTTATTTCCTAAGAAAATAATTGCCATTTATCAGGTCATGAACACTATACATGACCTATACTGATTTCTTTATTAGTGGCTGTTCCATCTCAGTTTTAAGAATTTTTTTTTTCAACGAACACATTTTTTTAAATTTGCAATCAGTGTGCATGTACTCTGTATACAGATCACATGTGGAAAACAAGAGTTCTCTACCTTTCTGCATGTATTCAGTCTATTTAGTGTGTGTATGGTTGTTATTGTGAAAGTTTTTGTCAGATTTAAGGTCGTGCAGCTTTTCTTGAGATCACCAAATAAAGTAACAATGAGAAGGCATTTGCCATTTAGCTTTAAATATCATTCAGTGCATTGCTAGGTTAAAATTATGAATTGTATTATGAGTATTGTAGACACACGCAGTGATGCTTTACTGAACTTGCTGCTTTTTATACATACGTGTATGACAGTAAGAAATCAAGAAAATGTATTGATGGTTTTTTTTTTCTAATTACAGGGGTAGATGCTCTATTTTCCTAGAGTTATTTGTTAACTTTTATTTCACATGAATATGTGTAAATATGCAAGTATTTAGGAGTGTGTTGTGAATAGCTATAGGTAAAATTTATAATTAACATTCCAAAGACTTGTCAGATTAAATTTTTATCTTAAAGGAAATATCATTAAAATAGGTCTTTAATATGCTTCTACATGCTTTTTTTTTTTTTTACATCTTTGTCCACTTTATTCTTTTAAATTCATCATAACCCTTTCATTTTTGTGTCACCTAGTTTTTTTATTGTAAAAACTGTCATACATTTTACATTCCATATTACTGAATTTTGATTAATGCTTTACTTATCCCAAAGAAAAATCTATTGATTTGTTGGCTATCCCCCTCTTTAATGTCAGTTTACCAAGAGGATTGTACAGTTCAACTTATAACAAAGATCCAGGGACAAATTATTTTACTCCATTTATTTAAAGTATAATTTGTAATAGCAGTTCAATTCACTAGATACTTTTAAAGTCAAGAGGAAATAAAAAAAAATCCCTTCCCTGTAGCTCTCACTTCATTGTAAGCAGGATTGATATGCGCATGTTTTACTGTATCTTGAAAAAAAAAAAATGATGGTAGTGTTGTAGAAAAAATTAAAAAGAATATACCGTATTTCCCACCTAAATTTTTTTGCATATTGTTTTTAAAAAAATATTTTTATATTCTATAAAGGGGCATTTTTTGACTAACCAGATGGTGCCTCTATTTATTGAATTGTGTAGCTATAGTATACAGAGATTTATCTATGTAATGGGCATTACTTTATATGTAATGTTTGACAGAATTGTAAAGTGTTGGACACTTTTACATTCAGGTTTTGTGTATTTCTGAGGTCTTGTTATTTGTCTTTATATGCTGTGAATTTTTTCAGTGTTTTTTAGGAAAGAGGTGTTTGTCAGAATATTAATAAGAATATCTAACACCTGTTTAAAATCTGTAAATCCTTTTCCTGCTTTTAATTAAAATACAATGTGATGTCAGTAACATATATGTTGATAACAGAATGTAGACTTTGATAATGTTTGTTGTTTTATATTGTGACCTCTTTAAAGGTTCATATTTAACTCATTTATATGGATGGATGGTACACTTAATTCCTTATAATGAATTCTTATGTGATCTTCTTATCTAGTGCTTAATTATAAATAAAGTCTATTTTTAAGAGCAAGACGTGTGTGAGAGACAGATTTTTATTTTAAGGAACAGAATTCTTAAGTACCTACAGCATTCAGTCTCACCTAGTATAAAAATAAAGAAGTACTGGTTTGGAGGATTTAAAACAGAGAAGCTCACTTTTTCATAGTACAATTCTCAGTTAACCTTGGACTTTCAGTAAGGCATAGCATTCTCAACGGTACATAATTGGGTTCTGAAATTTACACATCTATTCTTCACTGTTGAAATATACATGGGATACAAATTCGGCGGAATGTCAACAAGTGTAGCAAATAGCCAATGACAGCGTTTTGTATGGCAAAGAGGTGGGGCTTAAGTCGTCTCATCAACAACAGTTAAAAGTTCTTGATGTTAGTAATTTCTTAAACCTTGCCATTTGACAGATGCTAATTACGAAGCACTGAGAATGCCACGCCTTACTAAAAGTCCAAGGTTAACTGAGAATTGTACTATCGCATTCTCTATTTGTTAAAATTGAGACTGAGAACGAGATCCAAGGTGAGCTCATCTCAGTCTTATGGCCCTGAACCCAGGACAGATGATAGATTGCAACACAGAAATGTTGCCTTCCTTTTTGGGAAGCATCAAGTCCATAGATCTGAATACAGTCTATATTTCATGTAAATTAATTCAATCAGATTCATGAAGAAGCATTCGTTAAAAATATTATTACCCACTATAAAAAGAAGCCATGCCCTCCAGCATAGCAACGGTAAACATTGCTTGACGCCAGGTAATATTCCAAAAGTATACAGTGTAGTTGCACGTGGGTTGACAGTGTATTCTTGGGATGAAAATTTTCAATGTCACACTCAGCTACATACAATATTTATACGTTTACAATAGGGTTACGCCTCATTATTATTGTACTAGATAGGGCCAATAAAATCTTGGAGATATCTGAGAATTCAACATATCAACGGTAAAATACATAAAGAATAAGTGGTTTGGATTTCCAAAGTACTTCGACACGTCCACGTATTTGAGATTTCAGTGTTCGAGATTCTGAAGTTCCAACTGTTTTTCTAAAAAAAAATTCAGTTCCGGACTGTTGAAACTATGATTGATTTTATTTTGGATTATTCAGATTAGAAATAGCCTAGCTTTCAAAATCCTTCTCCTGCAATAACTTTGTTCCGTTTTTATTTTTATTTGTAGACAAGTACAATAAAACCAGATATATGTATTTAGTTCTGTTTTTCAGTTCCTGATTTTTAGAATAGACTAAGCACGGTTATTAAAATTGTACAATATTAAAATGTTTTGTTACTTGTTGCAACAGTTTTAGTCTAAAGGTGTCGCCATGGATACTTTATTTTTTTTCAAAATATACTAGTAACTCCTTGTACATTTTTGTTCCGATTTCAATAAAACAACACACGTAGAATACACAAAGATGCACATTTCTGTCTATTTCCCCCTAACTTGGACGAACGTTGTACTCATGATCATCAAGAATTTATATTTCTGTAAAGTTAATTCGATCACCAGTCCATTTCAAGGGTCCCTTAGAATAAATGCATGTTTGAAATTCTTTTAAAACACAACTCGTCATTCAGTTTGGACGGTAATTGGTACAAGCTTTTGTATTTGTCTAAACGTAAGAAAACTTTTCTCATCCATTATAATGCATATCAACCAGCAGAAGCAGAACTCTGGTTATCGTAATTCTAATCAGGCAAAAAAAAAACTTTTCACAACCAAGCTTTATAATAAACGTGATGACTAACTTTTCAATCGCAACTTCCCTTACTTGTGCAGCAAAATACCTTCATAAGTGGAAAGTTATTGACAAACAAATTGATGAAACAAGAATATCAGCAGTCTCGTTTTAATTCGGCCTTTTGTAAGTTCTAGGGTCGATACAATGATATCAGCAATAACAATCTATCATAAAATCAAATGCTGATTGGCGTTTTTCATACTAATTGTTAGACTATATATTACCGGTATTTACACACTGCATTGACGAAGGATTTTCTGTTATTTCCCGATCATGAAAGGAAGCACTCTGCTGGTGTGACCGTTCGGCAAGGAATGGTCACTCCTCCGTGGCACCTGATCCCACCTCTGATGTTTTGGAGGTCTGTGTTTGCTCTGCTCTTATTTTGTATTGTTTAATGGACTTTTGAGCTTGAATACTGTGCGTTATCTCCATATACTGTAGAAGTACTTTTTTCCGCGTGGTATTAATTTACGCTATGTACGCGGTAACAAATTTTCCGCGGAAATTTGTCCAAGCGTACTTAATAAAAATGTATATTTCACATTACGAATATATCAAGACATTATATAATACCGGTATGTGATAAGATCAATGTAATGTTGGGGCTGTCCGCTTTTATTTTTCCTCTATTTAATCACATATAAAAAGTGTTAAATTTTTGCAAGAGTTATCAAATTGGTCAAACAAATTCTTCATATTATTGAGGATATAATCAGCTTATTGACGAAGTACAGAATATAGCCTTCCTTTGACAAGATCAGGGTTAAAAACCAGGATATTTCAGTAAGGAAACGAAAGCTGTTTCCTGAAGTTATGTAATAGTTCTCATATGATTCTCTGATCATAGAATGATACAAAAAATTGTGACTTTGGCCCTCACTATCTCTGGGAAAATCTGCAATATCTAGTCAACAACCACCACGATTGAGGGATGTTTCCGCGTGGCGAACTTTCTCTGATAAATTTTTTTTATAGCTTTGCAAATTGCTGATCTCAAGTACTAACTTGGATTTTTTTTTGTCGATGATGTTACGTAATTTACATGTACATGGACAAATCAAAATAACAAGCATCTTTGAACATTCCTTTTCCTTTGTTTTAACCCATCTACATTTTATGCATTGAATTAATTCAACAAAAATGGCAATTGGTCATTCAAATTAAACATTTCAATGCCAAGAGTCCGCAGCAACGTGTTGACTTAGGACCCCTGGCATTGCGAGATTGCTTTAATACAGCAGCAGACATTTTAATTAAGTGCTTTTAATACATGCCTTTGGTTGTATCTAGAACTGATTTGAGGCTGGTGGTGGTTCATTGCTATCGTTTATTTTTCTTTCTGCCTTACCTCATCCTCAAGGATGGCCTACCTAGTTGTAAAATTAAACCAAAATTTCTAATTATAATGGTGCCCCTTTTTTGTAGCCCAATTTTCGCATGATAAATACCAGCTGTGGGAGTTCATCCGGGACCTTCTACACGACCCTAAGTATAACCCTTCCATTATCCAATGGGAGAACATCTTGGACGGTGTTTTCCGGATCGTGGACTCGGCAGAGGTCGCCAGACTGTGGGGCAAGACCAAGAAATTCACTAAAATGACGTATGACCACATGGGAAGAGCGTTTAGGTAAAACATATAGTATATATTTTTAAAGAAAAATTTAAGGGAGCCTACAATGGAGAATTTTTTTCATACATGTACTTTATAAAGTCTATGGGGGAATTCCGTGTGCATAACTGCATGCAATGTTTTAAGAAAAACTACCACCTGGGTAGTTTGGGAAACTAATAACAGTTAAATTCACCATTTGTAGGTATCGGAAATTTCTCTTTATTGCATATCAAAACAAGAAATAAAAATATATACGCTTTGTTTCAATATATAAGGTGCAGATGAATTATTCTGCAATGGAATCCTTCTGTCGTCCGGTAGCCCATTTTGTTTTCAGGTTTGAAGTGTATTTTACTGAATTTTTAAATTCGTTCTACAGATACAGCAAGACGATGGGTTATTTCGCAGAGCTTCCAAAAGGAGCAGGCTATCCAAAGAAACTCTGCTTTAAGTTTGGACCGAAAGCTCATCATTGGTTACCGTTTCCAAACATGGAGAGTCCCCTGAACCTCGTCCTAAAACCAAAAACCGAAAGTAGACGAAAATCTGTAGAAAAACGATCCAACGAATCTATCCAAGAGAAATCCAGCGGCCTTATGAGGAGAATTAGTGAACAAAAACACCAAAAGCTGTATCAAAAAGCCAGCAGAAAGCCTGTTGATCGTGAACTAGTGTCAGGAATGTTTTCAGACAAACATCGTTTTGGTGGCAAACCTTTAGAACTTGGGTCACGTGACCCATTTTATGACGCGCCTTCAGAACGACAGGAAGTTCCTTACAACATACCAACCTTTATCGAGAAATCGGAAGACTCTTCAATCGAGTTTCCTGAGGAGGCAGACATTATTGACCAATACAGGGAGAGGATCAGACGCCCCTCTGTCGAGGAGACTGTTCAGGAGTCGGACAGATTACTGCTATTAGCCCGAGCCTCCGTCGCAGAATCGGCAGTGGAGAGGCAGACGACATCGGAACAAGCCCCGGATGATAAAGACCAAACTTGAATTTGTTTTTATAGAGCTTTATTGAAGTTGTTACTTTAATTATTTGTAGATCTCTATTTTTTACCTTTTAGGCATTTTGTACATCTGTGTTTTTCTTGTATTCGTAGACTGTGAGTATAGTTAGTTGCCTGGTTTTGTGTGTTGTTGCCGGTTTTCTAAGGATTTTGATATATACTGAGGACCAGAGTGTGATATGATTATATATTGTATATTAATTCATTATTTAGAGTTTTCTGTATACTCCAGTGATACTTTAAACATTCCTCGAGTGCTTATGTCTGATACCATTAATTGCTCACTGGTTTTTTTCTCGTTTATAAAAATCTATTAATTACGGTGTAGAAAATTGACATTTTTTCTCATAGTGAGAATTAATTAATAAATGATAATTATGATAAAATTCGTTTCAGTGGAGTTTTTTTCAGTGTCAAATATTTGTATTTAACAAAGATCTGAATGTTGATATAATCAGTGTGGTGTACGTGCGCTTGCAGTAAAGTGTGGTATCCCGATAAAGGATCAATTTAAGGTCGAGATAAGAAAAAGTGAACTTCCTTAAAATTTGACGGAGTACGAGAGTCATGTTAATTTTATTTTTTATATAGAACCTACCAATTCTTCCAGGGCTGATTGTGACGGCAGGATGTAGGTAAAGTGAGCCTCAATTGGCCCGCTTCCGGCCTTATTCAGAATTCTGTATAAGTATTCAACATCGACACGCGAGGCACATCTCGCAGTAAAATGATCCAGAACTCAAGAGCTTTTCTTTTAATGGCACGGAAATACAGGAATATTCGTGAGTGAATTTAAGTTTTGAACATGTCTTGGAATATGACGTCATCTCTTGACCACCTGACCATTGATGACGTAAACTTTACTTTGGTCAAGAGGTTCTGGTGGAACATAGCGTTTTGTTTACTCTGTCTAGTTTTTGGAATTATCGGGAATTCTATAGTGATCCTTGTGTACCACACCAAGTTAAAGTCCAAGATAGAAGAACGATTCTTCATTCCTATATTGGCTTTCCTTGATCTCTTAGCATGCATAATGGTGTCCAGTATTATGTTAGCTAAATCTTTTTATCCCGTCAAGTTTCAGGACGAATATGCATGCAGTTCCTTGACATATTTTGGATTTTCTACGTCTTCGATGGCTTTATTTATGCTAGCTATTATAGCGTATCACAGATTCCAGAAGATCGTCCGACCTTTTGGATACCAAATGAGCCTCAGAGTCAAACAGTACACCATTCTCATTGTTGGAACCATATCATACATATTATTCTCCCCTGTTTTCTATGTTTACGGAATTAAAGAAATCAAGAACCCACAAACAAATATCACGTATTATACTTGCTCAGCGCCTTCCAAGGGAACGTCGAAACAAGCCATGTTTGTCTTTCAAGGTATTCTAATTTGTATTTATTTAATATCTATAGTTTCTATGGCCATCATGTATTTTTATGTGGCGAAGACTCTGCGGATAAGAATAAAAGCTTCTAGAAAGCGAAAAGAAATCCATAGTTCCCAGACTCTAAATAGCACCGTGATTGTTCGGATGGACGGATGTACAAAGACAAACGGCGCCGAGACCATGTCCAAAGAACAACAGATACAGCAACTGATAAAGGCGCCAAATATCTCGGACACTTACGACACGCTACAGCTGCGACGGAAGAGCTGCCACAAACGGAAGGGTCACTTCTCTCTCTACAGGTACTCCTACATCTTCATGATTATCACCATCAAGGCCATTCTGTCGTACGTGATTCCGTGGATTCTGGTGATCGTGAAGAGTAACGATTCGTCTCCGTGGACGGAACTGAACCAGCGTTTGCTGATCCTGAGGTACCTCTACATACTCAGTCACATTACTAACCCCGTTATATACGGACTCATGGATAAAACCTTCCGTAAGCAACTTACAATGGCCGTCTGCGAAAACCGCTCTCAACAGTATATAATGAACGGTAGTGGAAGCAACTGAGAGTAATGACAAAACAGTTGAAGAATTTACTGTTTCTACTTAGTATTAAATACTAGTCATGGCAGGGATGAATTAGTGCTAGAGGACCAATGTTCAAAGGAGGTCTTTGTCATTAACTAAAAATATCACTTGGAATGGTAGTGGAAGCAACTGAAGTAATGGCAAAACAATTGGACAAGTTTTTACAGTGTCTTCGTAGTACTACTGTATTACGTACTAGTACGTGATAGTGATGATACAGCGCGATGAGGGGCGATGACCAGAGAAGGAAGCTATTCATTTGTCATTCTCATCAGCTAAAAATATCACTTGACTCAGATCATGACGAGACAAAAGAGGAGAGAGAGAAGACAAATAGCGAGAGAAAGAGTATTTTAATAATTTATTAGTATCCCTCGCATTTAATGTATCGAAATTTTCATCACACGTCTCCCTTTTTTCAGAACAGGATCATTTCACTCATTAAGGTTTTATTGTTTTTATACATACATGTAAAACGTTAATTACCTATAGAACAATCCAATACCGCCTCTCATAGAAGTGACACATTTGAGTAACCTTAGTAGATATGAAGTACTAACGGATGTCTCTACAGAAAGCACTTGTTATGACCGATGGGTTCCTTTGTTTTTTGATGACAACATTTTCACAAGATGTAATAGGATATCAATTATTTTTACTGAAACGTGTTTGTATAGAACGGGATCTTGAAATCTCGACGACGACAAAAAGGTTCCTATAGATAAACTAGAAATAAATTGCAACAGTATTTCTTTTTTGTTAGTGACAAGCATTTAGTTGTTACAAAGATTAAAGTAAACAGTTCCATAGTTCTCTCAAAAGATATCTCTTTTAAATTTTAGATTCACCCAATCGTGTTTGAAATGTATTTTAGTGACGTAATTTTGCACTTCCTGAAGAGGTTCGATACTATTAATCTCTCTGTACTATAACACTTGTTAAAATTTATTGCTGACTGCACTTGAAAATACTGCATATACGAAATGCGTAGCAATGCCAACGTCAAACAATGAATAAAAGTACAAAATACAGATGCATACATTTTTACAAGAACAGAATAATTACAAAAGAACTCTTCTTAGACTTTTGTTTCATTTGAGTCGATCACGGAGAATGTTAAATGGAAATAATCAAATGTTTAAAAAAAGTCATAATAAATATGAAAGGAATATCTACATTGCATAAATTTTATCTTTTTTCTTTGGTAAGCTAATAAGCTCGAGTGTGTACATACCTGGTAACTTCATTACCCTAGCCCGCTCCAGTACTGATGACAACACTGTATTTCACTATGTAATGATTGTCTGACAACTCAATATTCTAATTAAGTTTGCAGACAATCCAACGATCATAAATACTGTGTGTTGTCAATTTAAGTTTGTAAACATCTAAATCGCTCTTGTGAGAAATTATTTGGAGATAACGACCAGCAATAAGACTCAGAGGTCTATCTAAACAATACAAATAAGGATAAGTAGAAGGATCTGGTGCTTGGTGGAGTAAACATCCCTGCTGACCGGTAGCACTCCTTGTTATGATCGGGAAATAACGGAAAAATCCGTCATCAAATCAGCTAATAAATAATGGACTTACAAATAGTATGAAAAACGTCTGTCAGCATTTGACTCAATGATGAATTGTATTTGCTGACAAGGTTATTGTATCGGATGCAGATGAACTTTAAGAAATTATGACTTTAAACGAGACTGATGATAATCTTTTTTCATCTGCAGAACCTTGTTTGCCAATAACTTGCATAGTGTACCGAATCAACAAAGAGATATATACCGTGTATGTTGGTGAAAAGGGTATATTGCTTCATAAGCACGGGAAAGTTTAAGTCATGACGTTTGACAAAGAGCTTTGATGTTAGATCACCATTAACGTCTTCTACTTGTAAAATATCCAAATATGAAGCAGATGTGTCAGACTCTATGGTATCTTTTATTTCAACCTCACTGGGATAAACCGAGTTGACATATAAATAAAAAAATAAACGCTAATTGTAGATGTACATTTTCATCATATCTAATTGCGAACTGAATGCTACAACAATTGCTTTCTTCTTCTAACGTATACGATTTTGAGTAAATTCTACTTCAAATGAAAACAAAAATAGGTCTGCTTATAATGAGGTGCTTAGAGATTCCAACAGATTGTTGGAAGATTTCGTCAAGAAAGACCAAATAAGGATTGACTATCAGAAACTCCAGCATCTTTTAATATCAACTTCAAAATACTTGTGTGTACAATCAGAACATTTTAAACAAAAGTTGTCTTGTCTAAACCCCGTCAAAATGTCCCTAATTTCTATTCTAGTTTGTGTTTGTTTTCCTGGAATCTTAGACAGAAAAAGACACAGTAAGTGGAGTTGAAGAAACTTCTTTCCGCCCTACACTCTGGGATAAATAAGGAAATGATTGTGATATTCCAGTAAAAGTACTACAGCTAAAGCTACAACGGACTATCATTCTCTGCTGGCTTGCATACAGCCATATAGTTCCTCCAACTAAAATCCCGCGTCCCTCTTGTCAATGTCAGTGTATGTCAGATCTGCTTTGTTTTATTCTGTCTCCATAGCACAAAAACTGGACCATCTGCACAATGACCTGCCTACCTCAATCTCTTCTGAACCTTAATTTGGGTGATATCTGTGGTAGTTTACGTTCCTCCACTGCTGATCATTGTGGAACCGATCACTACGGCAGAAGTCCATAGCTTTCATCAACATTGCATTGTCTTCGTTTTCCTGTTTAAGTCAATTAAACACCATGCTTCGAGCAGTCCATCTTTTTCATATAAACAATGACAAATACAATGAATTTATGAACCCAAATCCAAAAGCCAATGTTTTATTATTAAAATGATTACCAAGGTCTTTAAAACGGATTGAATTGAAAATCTATGTCGTTTATAAAAAGCAGATGCTTTTGGAATTCATCTGTGTAGACGTGTCAATTTAGGCTATACTTAGTATATGATATTAGTTAAAAGTTTAATACTTTATAGTAAATATATATTTATGTGTGTTTATATATATATATATATATATATATATATATATATATTATATATTATATATATATATATATATATATATATACTTGTACAAGTAGTAGTCTCTGAAATCTTTTTACTACGACAACAGGAAAATAACTAACGTTGTTTAAATTTCATATTCAGAAAAAGTTTTCCACTAACTAACTTATAAATAAGTAGAACATCTGAATTATCTATAGATGTAATGTACTTTATCAAGGACCGTAAAGTATATCTTTAAGCTAGTAATACAGACGCTTCTCATCGTAAACAAGGAAATTATTTAAATTAGGGCACTGCTCAATGTCATTAAGGGCAGTTACTTTAACAAGATTTTGTGGGTGAATATTGATTGAATATTTCAAACAGGAGCATATTTCAATAATTTTATACTAGTAACTAACTGAAAAAAATCCATCTAAGTTCTGTATCGTGTATAGGCAGGCTTTCTCTAACTTTTCGGAACTTTTTTTTTCAAATGCTGGAAATTGAAATGTTTGGTCGTGCAACCACAAAATATGGGGGGGGGGTATCCAAACGAACATACATTAAAATGTCCAGCAAATGTTCTACCAAAGCTCTATTTACTCCTTACAAAAATATTAACTGCCGTCAAGGAGAAATCTCAGTGATACCATGATACAGTCTATTCTAGAAGTAGTGTGATGTGGAATTTCGGAATACTCCATATTTCTCATAGGTGTAAGTAACATCAACATGTATAACTTTTCTACAATTAACTTAAAAATTAATGCAACCATTCCTCACGATAAATGAATAGAAAAGGCTTTTTTGATATTATTTAAAACTATGTCTTCAATAAAAATGAAAGTCTGAATTTATCATATACTTGTGACACATGTGACTTTGTGATTGATTACCAACAAATTCATCTTTGTTAAAAAATCGTTCTTATTCTAAACTAAATACAGTGAAGCTGATATTAAAAGGATGCTAGAGATCCTGATTTACAACATTTTTGTACTCTTCGGAGCCTAGGTCTTCCAATAAACTGTATGAATTTCGATGAGCAATGTACGAAAGCCCAGAAGGCTCATTCGAGATTCGAGTTTCAAAATACGAGATTCAAAATTCGAGATTCGAAATTCTAGTTTCGAAATTCAAGATCCAAACTAACCAATCAAAAGTGGATTCAACATTCGAGATTCGAGTTTCGAAATACGAGATTCAAAATTCGAGTTTCGAGATTCAAGATCCAGACTAACCAATCAAAAGCGGGTTCAACATTTGATTACTTCCCTTAATTATGTTTTTACTATCAAGAAATCGTTTAATATAATTATAAAAAATGGGTCATTTGATTAAATTACAATGCAAGAAAGAGTGTTGTATATATTAGAAGTAAATTTAAATAAAGATTGGATTTTTTGCTTAGCAAGATATACTTCAATTTATATTATAACTTCTTAAACATTAAACAGATTATATATATCAGGAGTATATATATATATTTTTGTATTGTCTACTAAACTTAAATTTTATGTATTACCTCTACTAGGTAAACCATAGGTACTTGTGGACAGGACCCCTCCCCCCGATATTCAACGCCAGGGCTTAAAGGACATTTTTTTCACAAATTATAATTATTACACTTATTCATCATGTGTACAATACGAAAAAATCTCGGGCGAAAAAAAACCCAGAATAATCGCTCAACGAAAAAATACTCCATTATTGCCTGACGTCACGGCGTCAGGCTGTATAAGGATTGATATAAATTCCGAGGTGCGAAGAGAAGAGGTCACAGATAGCCAGCAAAATTGTGTGCATGCTGATTATCACTGGAATTTGTTACCACCGTTTCAACAAAACATTTAGCAGAAAAAGATAACCGTCTTATACAATATATTGATGTGTTTATTTCCTTTAGTTTTTTTGCATGCAGCTGTTTATTTCATGCGATTTCATATACGGACATGTCCTTTTGACCTTTTTTCTGCGTTTCTGTACTATTGGTGAGTCCATATGTCTTCTAGGTAAGGGGTGTCACAATCATTTTGCGCCAAATGTCACGTGTATATCATCGCGCCCTTTTCCTGGATGATTCTACTGCACTGAACGGAAATGAAAACTTCAAGTCTGTTCTTTTTATCGGAATTTCGATCTTTGGGAAAAAACATATCGGTATATTGTGAAAGAAGTTAGAAGTTACATCATTTAAAGTAATGCCCTGTTCACACGACGAGTTTAATTCGCAGTAAATTAATGCGAAGTAAACTAATGCGAATCAAAATAATGCGAATTAAATTGCGTTCACACGACAGCTAATGCGAAGTAAACTAATGCGAATTAAAATTCTACTTCTACGGCCAGGCGTCAGTAAGGCTATTATGACGTCATTTGCAAATCACGTCACCTTATGCAGGAGTAGATGCATTTGACATAATGTTACAGTGTCTGTACACACAATTTAGTGATTAACACAATTTTCCTTTGTTTTTCACTCAAAAATAGCACAAATAATTCAAGCTGACCACGGACATGTGTCATTTGACCTAATTTTGCCATTACGCATGCCTCAAAATTTAATTCGAATTAGCTTCGCTTAGCGTTCACACGGAGCTAATGCGAAGTAATTTAATGCGCAGTAAACTAATTCGAATTAAACTAATTCGCATTAAATTCTCCGTGTGAACGCTAAGCGAAGCTAATTCGCAGTAACTTTACGTTTAATTCGAATTAAACTCTCCGTTTGAACAGGGTATTAATAAAACGAAACGGAAAAGAGTTCTTAAGAGGAAAACTGGCCAAATATACATAATATTTCTGATCATATCTCGCCCGGACTCGCAGCCCCCCCCCCCCCCCCCCAGTTTTCAGAGATAAAATTCCTTCTCCTATGAAACACAGAAAATAGACCCCCCCCCCAGTTTTCAGAGATAAAATTCTTTCTCCTATGAAACACAGAAAATAGACTCAGGAAAAGTGTCCCTCCTAATCCAGGATTGAGGAATATAAGGAATCACCGTCAAGTTTGTTGGGTCATTTATGCATGACGGGCTGTTTCCAACAATCGTTGATGCTCTGGCATACCCAACAATCTAGTACTTAAACATATTCTGCATGTTAATCATAACGATTCATTTATTTCTTGTAGTTATCATATTCTCGGCTGTC